TCTGGGGGCTGGGCAGCGGCCTCAACAAGACGGGCCTCAGCAGTGAGTGTGGGGGGGAAGGCCGGCTGGCCCGGCGGAGACACGGCTACCTCTCGTTTTACGCGGGGGTTGTGTTCCTTTAAAAACGGCGCGCAACTCAAAATTACGTGAACTGAACATAATTTTCCCATAAGAAAGAAAAGGAAATGGTTGGGGTTAGGGAGAGCACGCTGTCCAGTCTCTTTCTTACGTCTACATATTTTACAGGTTACAGTTACATATTCTATTTTTCATGCTACCATACATGTGTAGTGTAAAATCACTGACACGGACACGTTGTAACAAGTCACCTGCTTACACTTTATTAACCTATTCTTGCACCAGTTGTAGGCACTTCTAGAACTATCTGCACGGTCACTTAGACCTAACTTCTTCCACTCGTCTCTTCGCTACACCTCACCTATCCTGCCCTCGGCAGCTCTGCTCCCAGCGACTCCGCACACAGCTTAGTTGCACTCAGCGTCTTCACACAGAGGCCTCGCACACAGCGCCTCAGCACTCGGCGTCTTCACACACAGAGGCTTCGCACACAGCTTAGTTGCACTCAGCGTCTTCACACACAGAGGCCTCGCACACAGCGCCTCAGCACTCAGCGTCTTCACACACAGAGGCTTCGCACACAGCTTAGTTGCACTCAGCGTCTTCACACACAGAGGCCTCGCACACAGCGCCTCAGCACTCAGCGTCTTCACACACAGAGGCCTCGCACACAGCTTAGTTGCACTCAGCGTCTTCACACACAGAGGCCTCGCACACAGCGCCTCAGCACACAGCAGCTTCTCAACACAGAGGCTTCGCACACTCCACCACTGCCCTCGCCTACGCTACCTCAGACCCACTCACTCGTCTGTCCCGTGCGGGGGGGGATCAACCATCACCCGCCCGGCGACTCGTGAGGGTTGAGGTCCGTTGACGGGTTGAGCGGCAGCGGCGAGATGTCTTCACTAATGCCCCCAGCAACAACTCTGCTCCGTTCACACACGCCTCCTTATATTCTACGGCCAATTACCTGAGAGCTCTCGTGTGTCTCTCTAAGCCTAGCCAGGCTGGCGTTTGTCAGCCCATAATGAACCCTTATCTCCCTCTCCCTGGCAACACCTCCGGTGTGAGCGTGCACAACCGGTCGACGCGGTTTGCACCCGCTTAGCCCCTTAATTAGGTGGCGGTTTGTTTGTGCAACGCCATGTTAGCAGACGCGCACCTTCTTGCCCTCAGTTGCCCTCGGTCAACTGTGCGCACCGCGTATTTCACTACACAACACATGTAATTAAATAGGGTATTTAGGCAATTGAAAGAAAAACATTAAGTAAAACAAAAATATTTTTTTAACATGTAGCGAGATGCTTACCGGACATATTGGTAGGTGAATGCGTGCACGAGACAAAGTTCACGCGGACAAGATCTTTAAAAAATGGCGCAAGGAGATGCTGATGCTGCCCGCGCTTGTGGTTGCCGTATCGCACTTCAGGCATTGCTGCTGAACTTTGCCGCCTGACTAACGATGAGCTCGCAGCACGTTCCATACACTGTGGTCAACGCGCCGGAGCGCGTTATTTCAATAAGAGTGCGCGCATAACGAAAATAAGTGTACATTTATTTAACGCGCTATTTCAAAATCGCATAGTAGTCGCAAGGCAACTACTACGATAATTTTTTTATGGAGCGTCATTCCTGCTAATTGGCATCCCACAACGCTGCACGTTAATCACATGTAAGGGCCAACATCTATTTGTCCAGACAGCGACTACCAATTTCAATGAAAATCCCTCTGAAACAAAAAATGAATAAGCAAATCAAATGGCACGGAAACAAAAGAAGCACAAATGGCAACAAAAAAGTTATCACAACAAAGAGCACAATTGGAGCACAATTGTGCTCGGGTGTAGGAGGGCGGGGAGGGTAATAAATAAGTGTGTTCGTTCCTGTTTGTTCATAATTCGCTGTAACGTTCTTTCGGGTGTGTGTAACGTGCGTGTGCAACGTGCATGTAACTTATAACGTGTGTGGCAGTGTAACGTTTGCGTAATGTTTCACGTGTCGTGCGTGCCAGTGTAACGGGCGTGTCACGTGTGTGACGTGCATGTGACGTGCGTATCGTAAGTCCTGCTGGGGATGCTGTACGAAGACAAGGATCGGCAGGACTTCATCTTCACGCTCTACCACTGGTGGCAAGCCGTGGCCATCTTCATCACCTACCTGTGGACGACCTACGTCTCCTACATGAAGGTGACACATCGAAGGGTGGGGTGGGGGGGGGTGCAGCAGCTTCATATCAGAATATTTTGTTATACTGGATAGGAATCCGATGAGCCATAAAGCTCTTTATTTCACAGATGTCCAGTAGGGGCACGAGGCCAGGAGTGCAAAGTGTAGGAAAGGTAAACAAATAACGTAAAAAACTAAAACTAAACAATGTTTTATCTTACCAGGTCAAGCCGACTGTGCTATTCGCTGTCCGGGGGCATTGTTCTTGGGGTCCTGTGGTGTAGGGTGAGGGGAAGGGGGTTAGTGGTAGAGGGTTGTGGTGCTCCGGAAGATATTCCATGAGAAATTAAGTCCCGGGCACACACCTCCTCAGACATTGCTCAATTCATTTTCTAAAAAATTTTTCTGACTTGTAGACTTCTTTCCCCCCCCCGCCCCCCCCGCCCCCCCCGTACAGGTGAAGCTGTCCTTCCTGCTCGCGTGCCTGCTGTTGGCCCTCGCGTGCTACGTCTACATGGAGCGCAAGGTGGCGCTCGGCCACCGCCCGCGCCTGCCCCGCCTGCCCAAGCCCAAGCGCCGCAACAAGGGCTACCGCTACTTCCTGGACGAGGACTCGGACGAGGAGTCGGACGATGGCGGGCACGAGCGTGACGACAACGACAGGGCGGACAGCGACTACGAGGAGAACGAGGAGGTGGCGAGGGAGCGCCGGGACGGCGGCGACGACGGGAGCGGCGATAACGAGCGGCCGAGGCAGAGGCGCCAGGCACGCGCCGGGAGGAGGAGGGAGGAGAGGGGCCTTGATAACGGGGCTCATGATGGCGCAGCAGCAGCAGCAGCGGACGACGGCGAATGAAACGCGAGCGCAGGCGCTGGCATCGGCCCTCCGTGAGCGGTGCGTGTGCATGTGTTGGTGAAGTTGGTTGGCACAGTGTGAATCACAGGTGCTGTGTCTGCCCGTCGTCATTGTTAGATAACCTGCGATACCTCCATTCGTTCCGTGGCCATCTTGCCTGGGAAGCCCTCGACACTTCACGTGGTCTCGCGGGGCACTGAGCCTGGGGCAAAAGCTCCGTGGAGACGCCGCCGTTGTTGTTTCAATGGCGTGTTGGTTAGCGCACTTCTGCTGTCAATCCTGGAGAATAATAACCCGATTCTGGGCATCCCCTGGTTCCACTCAGCCCTAGATGAGTGCCTGGTTCGGTGTGTGCCGGGCACGGTGCTGGCAACGCCACTCCTCCGCGTGCACTGTGCTCTCCTTAACCGGTGCCCACTAGCTGGTGCTGCTTTGGGGATCTCTGTGCGTGCGTGCGAGCAAGCGAGGGACACTGCCATGCCGGAGGGGAACACATGCGGGCTTCTGTCCGGGACGAGAAACGACGACGACTGTCGTCGTCCCAGGTCTCCCTTGGTGCCCGACGCGATCTCACCTCCTTACTTGTCGCCCTCAACACCCTCGGATATTCCTCTCAAAAAGTGGTCGCGCGAGGATGAGTGCCCGGGATCAAATTAAGATCCCGCGTTCTCCTTGACGGTCACTACCGTGAGCAGCGGAGTCAGCAGCAGAAGAGAAAAATATTTGTCATTCGCCATCGTTTAAGTCTGCCCTCTTTGTAGGTTACGTGTGTAAGTTGAACTTCTTTCGCACCGTACGCAGCAAACCGTGCTCTTCGGAGGTGCGGGGGAAGGACAAACAAACTAAACACAAAAAGCAGTTCTAAAGAAATTTGTTTTCAATTTAGATTTCAACGCGTGTAGGCTCCATTGGCTTCCAAATATCGTCCCCCGGGCAGACGGACCACCGGCGAGATGAAGCATGCTGTGGTCCAAATCTGGTGGTACGCGGGGGGTTCGGTGGATGAGATTGAGCCCCCCCCCCCCCCCCCTAACAAGCAGCACTCGAGTGAGCTTAGCTGACTTTTCTTCTAAGTGGTGATTGCATTGAATTTGTGACTGCTACTGACGCCATTTTGTATAAACGTTCAAGGCCGTGTTTTTTATGATGCCAATGGTGAATCGATCGCGATGTTGTTCTCTTCAACCAGTTGCGTATTATTCTTGGCACATTTAATCCTGCCCATTACAATAAACGAACCTTTAAAAAAAATTCACTCAGATGCCACACTTGGATTATACCGCGGGTTAATGAGATCGTTTCTAACTTTTTAAGAAAGTTAAGGTGGCTCTCTCGGGCAGGACCCAAGCGAGAAAGGCCGATGGCCAGTGATCAATGGAGTAGCAGCGGAGGATTGGAACGCATCGGCGAGGACGTCCACCGGGGAGAGATGCAGCGATGAAACCGACTCGTGCGCGCCGCAGGTGCTCCGTGTATTGTTCGTTCACGGAATCATGAGGTGGCGGCGCCTCCGGGAAAGCCTTCACATCCAGCAGTGGATTGATCGTGGCTGATGAGGGTGACGATAATAAATAATGAACACTTTCAAAAGCACCTTGGAGGTCGTGCAGGCCGCTGGTGCGGAGACAAAATGAGACGTACATTTTCCGAAGGAAAAAAAAACAAAGTCACGACGACCTGGTGAAGGCCACGCAGGCGAGTGTTAGGAACACTCCGGCAAATAAAATAAACATTCAGGAAGTGAAGATGCCTTTAAGAAGAGGAGACGTGGGATTTGCTGATGTGGAAGTGGCTCCACCAAGCGGCCAGTCGGGTGCCGGCTGTGACCCTCGGTACCGCGCGCAGACTTAACTCGCGGCACTCGCGACCAATTCGCCAAGACGCGCTCACGATTCCAGGGTACACACAAAACCGGCATAATTTATTCAGTTAATCAATAAATAAGAGATCACATCATCATCATAACAAACAGCGACACTTGAAAGCCACGCCGGACAAATGAGCCTCAAGAAACGATGGAACCGCGGGCTCGCCTTGGGGGAAAACATTCCCGCGCCCGACGACACCGTACCACGCCGACTTGGTGTGGCCATCCACCGGCCCCCAACGCCGTCCAGTGAGGGGCGAAGTTCGGGCAGCCTCGCGCCGTCCTAACTCTGCAATGCAAAGAAGACGTGGGCCCTCCCGCGTTCACGACGGGTTTCAAACAAAACATCGGATGCACGCCCTTCAAGTTGTGTTCACCAAAGACGGTTCGGGCCATCTTCGTTGCTGTTTTACTCTCCTCGGGGTTCGGATTAATCGAGCGGTCTGTTTCTTAAGCCTGTCGGTCACATCCGACGGCGCCTCTTTCCCACAAGACGTGCCCTGCTTATTTACAAGTGGATGGGAGCGCAAGGGGGCAGCGGAGCGGCGAGTCTCGGCACGTGCTTGCCCGCTCGCTCGCCCACTCGCTCGCCCGTCCAAAAAACTACCTAGCGAAAAACTACGGCGAATGTCGCGGCGGTGGATGAGGGCATGGGGGGGGGGGTATGGGGAAGCGGTCCTACGCGAAATGGGAAAAACTGAAAGATCAAGAAGGTTTTGAATTGGCGGAACACACGAGGGGAAAGGGGGAAAGTTGCTGGAATGAGTGCTAAGGTGGGAGCGGCTGTGCGCTAGAAGCGGTGCGGAGGTGCCATACAGTTTCGGAAAAGTGATAACATGGCTCGGTTCGTAAAACATTGTAACGGACTGTAGTACACGAGACTCGGCGTTACAGTAGAGCATGCATGCTTACTCGAGCTCACCTGAAGTTTAAATGTGATTAAGATAAAACGTTCAGGGCTTTACGGCCCCCTTTTTTTAAAATATTTTTTTTTCTTACTCGTGCTTAACAAACAAAAATAACCCCGGAACAGTTAAGATAGTTGTCGGAACGTAAAAAAAAGTGACGTGGTTTTTGCGAAACTAAGTTGCCAGACGTCGTCGGTCATCGTAAAAATTCCACCGATTAGTTTGTTTTTTTTGGAAAACGGTTGCAGTTAACTCGAGCCGTAAAAGCTGCTAATTGGCTGTAAATTCGCAGGTAAAGCACACAATCACGATCACAGGCTACTAAGTGCTCGCGAGTCACAGGTTACCGTATAATATTATATTCTGCAGGGTGAGCAAGGCTCGCGCTAACGACGCGTTCATCATGAAGACGGCAAAACTAAATCATCTCCCTCAAATGAGAAACGCCTCTCCTCGCCAGACGGGGTGTGGGGGGGGGTGGCGCAGTGAGGGATCTGTGACGTCGCTCAGCGGGGGGGGGGGGGACCGCTGCTCGCCTGGCGTCGAGCGTGTCGGCGACCCAAACATCCAGCGTATGTGAAAAATGTCTCGTTACAAAAGCTCAGCGTTAATCGATTTTTCTCAATTTGACTCGCTCGCTCGATTCCTCCATCATTTGTGTTTCAGCAAGTTTGGTAAGGTAGCCATTGAATCCCGCACATGAAATAAATAAAACTCTCTCGGATTCCCACCCACCCCCCGGAGCTCGGGGGATGTCGGCGCAAGGAGAGGGCCCCGACGCCAGGGCCGGCGAGCGACGTAAAGCGTCGACGGAAAGCGCTGTAAACCAAAAGACTTCACAAACGATGTGCGGCAGACGGCTCTGCGCTGTAAAGCTTTGCGGGAGAAGGAGGCGTGTGACCTTACCCACCACCTGCGTGCCAGTTGCGGGGTGTGAAGCCACGCAAGCCCACAAAGACGGCGGCGCTCGCAAACTGCTCAGAACGGTTTAGCGGATTCCTACGTAATGCGACCGATTACACGAATGATGTCGCGGGCGGGAGGGCGGGCGGGCAGGGGCGGCGGTAGGGGCGCGTTGTGCCCAGGGCTCTGCGTAAGGCCGCGCCGGCCAGTGAGGCGATGTCGCGGGAGAGAGTGGTGCCGCTCGTCTCTCCGCGGAGCCACCCCGCCCGCCCTAGATGGAGACCTCGTACTCCCGGGTGTCCTGTCGGGAGAAGATGGTGGGGGGGGGGGGCAGCCACGCGCACACGTATACGCCATCGCATCACGCGCCACCCGGCGAGTGTTGCTCGTCAAACTCCGCGGCAACTCGGCCAACCACGGTGGGTTCCCTCCTCCCTCCGCGCTCGGCTTACTGCGGACCCGGGGGACTCTTGGTGCCACCCGCGGCCCAGCTACGGTTCAATCCACGCTCGTGTCTCTGTCGTTCAGTCCCTCGCGGGCATGGAAGGGATCGAATTGTCGGGCTCACGGTGCGTGCCGAGCAATCGCTCGCGTTCGTCGTGGAGAATGGAAGTAACAAAATAGATACACAGCAGTCAAAGTGTCGCCCGCATATATATCTCCAAATAAAAGTATTCTTTACACGCAGAGAGAAAGGCCTTGGGGGTCCCCCGAGTGGTTGCGTAAAAATGAACGGTGTTCCTTACGTGGAGGGACAGGTATATGAAGGAGAAGTGTATTGTCTGCTTATCTATTTTGATGTCACCACAGCAAGGATCGATGCACTTCACCGCGAGGACGGAGGGAACCTCGTTCGTCCCTGGGCGTAGTTCAAGGGTTAGGGGGTTTTTTTCCCACCGCTGGCACGGATTCGTAACAACCAATCGTCTGCGGTGGCGAGACGAATCGACGGGCGCGCTCCCAACGCGGGGCTTTTGTGATTGCGCGAGCTCACGGGACGTCGCGAGGCAAGTTTAATAGTTTATTTTAGAGGGAGGTCACAAAACACTGGCAGTGGTGGCGCACGAGCACATTCTAAAAATAAAACCTGCGACTGTTGGTAATGAGCTGCCGCCTTACGGAAGAAGAAAAAAAATCCACTGCGGGGCATGAAGTTGCTTGTCCCCGAGAGACCGGATGCATCGTGGCGTATGCGATCAGCTGATGTTTCGGTAAAAAAATGACCCCATTTCAGAACCGAGACCAAGTTTGCTGTCGCAGTTTGATAATGAAGTAGCATCAGTGGCTTTGGGGGGGGGGGGTTCTGGATTCCACAGCCCGGGCCCTCCACACACGTGGCTACAGCCCCACTGGGCAAGACATCCACATTTGTGTAAAGGAACGATCTGGCTCGGTGGCTCTAGGGGCAGCACCGCAGCGGCGACAATCGGCGGCGACGGGAGGAGACTGGCGGGAGCCGGCGGTTGTTTCTCACGGTGTGGGAAGGCGGCGGTGTGCACGAGGGTTGGGGGGAATGGGATTATGGCAACGTCTCCCGTCACGACACTCACTGATTGGTGGGTGGGGGGGGGGCACGCACTACAGATGGACGAAACTGAGCGGCGGTCGCTTTGAAGCCTCCTGGGAATGGGCGACATTCACAGCATGAGATGGGAAACAACAAGACAAATGCAACAGCAGCACACGCGCGCATGCACACACGCACACATGCACGCAACAACAACAACATTAATCAGCGGTATCGTCACCACGGGTGCCTGTGCCAGGCCAGGTGCTCTCTGAGGCCACGTGCAGTGCCGAAGGCTCGCTGGCAGGAGGTCACGGGACAGACCCAGGTGCCACGGGTTTGACTTACTGAGATGACTGACAGATGCACCCGCTGTGCCCCCTACTACACGCACGCACGCACGTGTGAGCGTGCCACCCAACATGGGCACCGCACGGACTGGTCATCTCGAGGTGGAAGCTCGTAGCTCTGTTGCGACCGAGGCTAAACACTCCGCCGCCGGGTTTTGTCAGTCTCGCGCTTCGAACGAGGTTTTGGGTTCATTGAATAATTGGAACGTGGATTTTTCCACGTGAACTTCTTCCTCCGGATGGAAGCGTTCAGAATCCCCCAAGTTGGCGAGCACTTGGCTTATTACCTACGTCTCATTATACGATGCACACAAGAGTGCAGCCCGTCCTACAGACGTGGTGCGTATTTGCCATTGGCCCTGCCACCCCTTCCTCCATTGGGGGGCGGGAGGCGTTTGGTGGAAGAGGAGGAGGAGAATCGTCGTCGTGCACTCACTCCGATCTCGTAGATGGGATTGTCGAAGACGGCCTCGTCTGGGAGGCGAGCGTAGGAATGCGAGCTCGTGAGCGGCACGCGCAGGGACGACTTCCCGCGCAGCCTGCAATTAAAGACACACGCGGAGCGAATTACCTTCGGCGGTGCCGTTTGTTGCTGGCTGCTTGGGTGTGTATTTTTTTTGGGGGGGGGGGCCTTCCTCGCAATAAGTGGTGAGAGAATAAATGAAGATTTGTTGACACTGCTGCCGTCGATCAGAATCGTTTTTCGGAGTGATGGGCGTGTTAATCGGTGCGGCGGCACCACCGATGGGGTTGCTGGATGATGATTGGCGGGATGATGATTGGCCGTGGGACGATTTTCAGAGAAAACAATGCAGGCAGTCGGGACGTTAAAACGCAATGGATGATTTTTGTTGTTTGGGGCCGTCCATAAATGACGTCACGCGATTTTGGACGATTTTTGACCCCCCCCCCGCTCGTCACACGGCGTCACAAAAAGTCAGACCCCCCCCCACAAATATGACGTCACAAAGCTCTGCCCCCCCCCCCCAAAAAAAATAAAACATGCTTCAAATCGCTTTAAACTATTGTCATTGTAGTGCCTATTTAATGTGGCGCTGCACTCTGATGTTGTAGGAGAAAACATTTATTAAAAAGTCTATTTAATTAAGTAAAACGTGTTGTCTGTATTTATTTAAAGTTGCGCATTTTGATGTGACGTCACATTTCTCAAACCCCCCCTCGTCACAAATGTCTGACCCCCCCCCCCCGCCTCCTAGGTGCGTGACGTAATTTATGGACGGCCCCTTTTGCGATTTATCCGAACGCGTGACGTCGCGTGCCACGTCACTTCTGTTGCGTCAGGCGATGACGTCACCCTCGGTGAGCACCAAAGACACCGAAAAGCTGATGCGGAATTGTCCACAACGCTTTCACAGCCGTGCTGTGTGCAAACGTAAGCCGACCTGCAGCCCGCAACTTTTTTTTCAGAATGAACTCTGTCAACAAGGTCAGTGATAAAAGACAAAAAAAATATTTTTAGAACGGGCAATGAATGATCCCTGGGTCCTTTCGTGCGGTATTTGACTTTTCCAGATGTGGCCACCAGATGGAAGCACATTGTTCAACTTTGTCTTCGTGTGTGTCTGTGTGAAACTGCAAACACGACCCCCCCCCCCCCCCTTACGTTCGCAATCACAGGAGGGCATCGCCAGATAGCAGGAAACAGAGCGGGCTGTGGAAATAAATTCCCCCTTGGGCATCCGAAATGCATTCACTCACTTGGTGAAGTACACGTAAATCCCTCCGATGAGCAGACCCACGATGACCACGGGGATGGTGATGGCCACGACAATGTCACGGCCGGGCTTCTGCACCCCCGATTCGCTCGTCTTGGCAACTGTGGGGAGGTGTGGGAGTGGGGGGGGGTGTTGGAGAGGGTGGGAGGGGGTGGGGGGGGGGAAGGAAACCCGAATGGGGGAACGGTGGTAGCGCCGGGCAGCGAAGAGGCGCGGGGCGAATTGGTGGAGATGGCGGGATGAAGAGAGGGTCGGTCGGTCGATGGTGGGGGGGGGGGGGGGGGGGGGGAGCAAGAGGGCGAGGAGAGGAATTAATGCTGGCGCCGAACGCCGCCCTCGTTAATAAACCGGAGTCGAGACGGCACGAGCTCCAGACCGCATGCAAATGAGCCGTCCCGCGCATGCACGCGGCGAACGAACACGTGAACACACAGGCAAGTAGCGCAGCCACAACCCAGAATCCGTGCACAGTGTCCGCCGCCCTCATTGCCACCGAGCGAACCCTCTGGGCAATTCAAAAACTTCATTACCTTCAGATTTCGGGTCAGCGTGGTGCTCCGTGTATGCCACTGAACACAATAACACAACACTCGTCAGGATCATTAAATTACATTGAATCGGAAATACAAACTCGAAGAGGCATGATCGTCAACATCGTCGTCGTCACCACTGTGCTCTAAAAATGGAACATTACAAAAGGCAGCCCCCGTGTTCTTTGCTCTCAGGAAGAGGGGATGCGTGCGATTGTAAGAGGGGAACTCGATTTCATTGCAGGCGTGGGGAGCCTGACATTTGAACCCGAGGTTCTCAGCAGTGCCGACTCAGCGGCCTGTGTATCTATTTGCTATGCATGTGTGCGCGTGTGCCTACGATCCATCCTGGGTTGTGGTGGCTGGGCACGCGGGCAGCTTCTGTTTGGCCGGATAGAGGGGGCTAAACGTGAGTGTGGCATGGGCTAGAGAAGAGATGGGCTGATGTGGTATGGGAGGATATGGAGCTGTGTGTGGTTGCTGATGAGTGGTACCAATGGTGTCAAGATTGGCCCCTATAGTGGAGGCTCATAAAGGATGCTATTGGGTAGTTGGAGGCAGTTGCCCTTTAAGAACAAAGGAGGGTGCAGGAGCAACTCACAACAACGGAGCAGAGCGTCTGGTGGCTAAAACGGAGCAATTTGGCAGAGCAGGGAGCACAACTGGTGCATCTGCCAGTCATCTTACTCAACCCATGGCACCCGGGTCTTTCCCATGACCTCCTGTCAGCGAGGCTTCGATACTTCACGTGGCCTCAAGGTGCACCTAGCTGGCACAAGCGCCATGGTGGCATCACCGCCACTTAGTGGCACACGGCGGTTGTTGCTGTTTACGTGTGAGAGTGCGTGTGTCGACTCGGCCTCAAATGAGCACCTGGTGTGGAGTGTGAAAATCGCCACTGCCGTTGTTCACACTGCGTGCACGTGTGGCATCTGCGCTCGTGTGCGCTGCACCTACCCTGGCACTTGGGGGCCGAGCCGCTCCAGCGGGACGGGTGGCCGGGCAGGCAGCGCACGCTCACGTCGCCCACCAGCTGGAAGCCGTCCAGGCAGGAGAAACGCAGCAGCTCGCCCGGCTGGTACAGCTGCTTGTACAGCAGCTGGTATCCGTTCTCCGGCATGCCGGGGTTCACGCACGGGTCGAACACCTCGGCTGCCCGCACGACAGAGACAATGGATCCCCACCCCCCACCCCCCCCAGCAAAACAGTCTTAATGGGCTGCTGGTGCCAGCGCTGTTCACGAGCGAGCACCTATGAAGGTCGCCACGGCGCACGAGGCGGTGTGTGGTAAGCACCCACGCCCCGACCGCTGATGTCTCCCCAGCGCTGACGCTTAAACACACCGCACCGTGTACTCAGTTAAGATCGAGTCGACCTAGGGGAGGGCCCCAGGACAGGCCGCTGTTATTGGCCGGGAGCGCGAATCGAACTTGGGTCGCCGGGGTTTCGTGGCGCAGTGCGCGTGCCACCGCGCCGCCGCCGCCCGCAAGGCACACTGGCACGCACGCGTGGGTGACACTCTGAGGCTCGCTGGGCTGTGATATTCACGGCCAAGAGATAGTAAGTGTGATGGCTCATTTGAGTGGTATCCCCTCGTATTTGTGATGAGTTTTTTTTTTTCCGGGCGTTCCGGTTTCACTTCCACATGGGGCCAAACACTCATTGAAGACAAACTGGCCCAAACATTGTGATGTAGTGGGCCGCTCTTAACAAAAATAAAAAAGAGTCGAGACCCAGTGAGGCTCTCCTGGATGAAGAACTACACTGTCATGGATGAAGAACAACACTGTCATTCTTCTACTTCTCTGGCCTCTCTCGGTGCTGTGAAAAAGGGCCACTGGCAAAAATGTGGCATTTTAAAGGCAGCAGTGTTATTGATGAATGTATTGAGTTGTTGTTACGTGTGCTTACGCACCACAGTCACCGAATAATTCGTTCACTATTCTTATTGTTGTTGTTAGCTAAGCAGGCTTGAGCCTGGGTAGTGCCGACCAGCCCATACTGGACATCTGTAATAAAAGAGCTTCATAGCTCATCGGATTCCTCCAGGATAAATAAAGATTCTGATTGTGTTTCGGTGGGTGAGCACCATGGACAATCCAGTGGGCAGCAGGCAGAGGGGAATTGAAGCGACATCGATCGTTGTACCGTACTTCTACGCTCCCGCAATATTCCCCCATGCCTCCCACCAACTCGCACGGGATCTAGCGTGGTAAAGTATGGTCGAATAACCCCCATGACTAGGACAATCACGTTGGGGGCAGGGGGTGGTGGGGGGGATACCTTCATCCAGCAGTAGATTTACAAAAGAGCTGCATGGTGTTGTTATCATTATTATTATCACTCCGAATAAAATCCTGAGCACCCCCTAAGTCTCCCGGCCCGGGGGCCGTGGCTGTGATGGATTTCACATCAGCGCAGTTTCGCAACAATCAATGCCAATGAGGCATGCTCGACTAATTGGAGGCAATTACGCTAATAAAGGACGTGGGAACGGATGCCCGCGGGAACGAAACGATTTACGAGTCGCGTGGCTTGGGAGCGGCGGAGTGACGGGCGGCACCACGAGAGAAGGCACCACGAGAGACGGCACCACGGAGAGAGGGCACCACGAGAGAGGGCACCACGAGAGAGGGCACCACGAGAGAGGGCACCACGAGAGAGGGCACCACGAGAAAGGGCACCACGAGAGAGGGCACCACGGAGAGAGGGCACCACGAGAGAGGGCACCACGAGAGAGGGCACCACGAGAGAGGGCACCACGAGAGAGGGCACCACGAGAGAGGGCACCACGAGAGAGGGCACCACGGAGAGAGGGCACCACGAGAGAGGGCACCACGAGAGAGGGCACCACGAGAGAGGGCATCGCTGGCGCAGCTCCCAACAACTCGTCGGGTCACACCTAAACGATATCCCGTACTGCAATATCGTGTGATACGATACCATACGTTACTATACGACACCATAAAATACCATGTAAGGCAATACAATGTAAGGCAATAACTATGCAATAAATACCGTGCAATGGAATAATACCAAGACAATGCAATAACATACACTACCATGCAACACAACACCGCATAATAACATCAATGTCTCCCCTTAGGCCCTGGCTCTGCCAGTGTCACCGTGGCAAATTTTTTTGTTACGGCTTAACCGACATTTTTTGAAGTAAATTTTAACTGGAGGTTTAAGCGGCGGAAAAAACAAATATTTTCTCGGCATCTACTCCGGGGAAGCGGAGAGAGATAAAACGAAGCGACGATAACGATGTCAACTTGCAACACGGCATTCGCTCGTTGCTCTCGTAGAGACGCAAGCGAGCGACTCGAAGGGGCGAGGAGGAGGAAAACCCCAGACAAGCGGGGAAAGCGGCAGCATACCTGTCAACCCATATACGGTTTACCCCGTATTCTTGTACAGGGAAATTTAGTTTTGAGGTCCGTATGGTGTACAGACGTTTCAATACGGGAAAAAAAAGTTTTTTGTGTATTCGTGTTTCTCCCTTGTGATGGGACTTTGTAGGATGAACGTTGAGATTTATAATGGCACGGGGTGACCAATAAGGTCTGAATTTGTCTGTAATAAGGTAGGGGTTGACAGGTTTGTGGCAGCGGCAGCAGCAGCCGCGCGTGGCAAGAAGTGGGCGTTACCAACAGTTGCCCAAAGCTCTGCGGTCCTCGACATATTCGGACGTTTTTGGCCAATTAACGAGCATTCACACGTGGGAGGAAAGGAAAACCGGAGCGCCCGGAGAACACCCAAATGTGTGCGGCGAGGGAGCAGCGCTCTGTCCCTTACGTATTGAACGGACGGGAGTCCACCAACCCTCGGTGTCTACGCAGCGCTGGATTACAGGCTGCGGGCGTAGCCACCACCACCCGCTGTGGGTTAGCGGGCTGGAAAAGGGAATGTGGCGCTGCGTGCTCCCGTCACAAAATCTCTCCCCACACACACACACACACATTTGACAGCCCAAAGGTATTTGTGAACTGTTAATGAATAAACAAGTCCAGTGGATGGCAACACCGACAACCAATTGACATAACACACGAAAAATATAACAAAACTATAAAAAACTATAATTTTCATTTTACCATGTAAGGCCCACTGAGCTATGTAGCTCTTTTTTAGAAGCGACCTGGCCACAAATGACAGCTCAACGAAGTGGCTGATCACGTGGAAACTTATCTCAGCCAAACACTCCAAACGCACGTTTGATTCTAAATATTGGGGGGGGGGGGGAAACTGGAAGACCCGGAGAAAAAATCCACGTGACCACGGGGGGGAGAGAGAGAGAAAACACGCAAACTCCAAATATACAGCAGGTGTCAAGGGTCGGGATCGAACCCATGAACCCTCCTGTATACCAGGCGAGGTAGTTAACATCTCGCTGCCGGGAACCGAAGCCCGAGCCGGGCGCGTCACTCACGGACGCATCGCGGCGCCGGCGCGCTCCACTTGGGGCTGCCGGTGTCGCGCGCGTGGCACGTGAGCAGTGAGCCGCCCTCCATCTGGTAGCCACGGTCGCAGCCGTACTGCACGGTGGAGCCGACGAGGAAGCGCGAGTCGGAGAGCACGCGCCGGCCGTGCTCCGTCACGCCGGGGTCCGAGCAGTACTGCACTGCTCGGGGGACGGGGGAGGTGGGGGGAGGAGAACAGAAAGCGAAGAGGTGTGATCACGTGGCTCGGAGTGGGGGGGGGTATTGTGACCGTGTCCCCCGTTGGTTTGTTGCATGGCAGCGCTTTGTCTGTTAGGTTTGGAGGGGATGTTGGCGACGCGCGAGCTGAGAGCGGAGGGCTGGGACGAGAGGGGAGGACGTCCCATCGTGTAGGTGGAGCAATGAGATCGGCTCGTATGCGGGTGCGTATCGGGGTACACTGTCGTACGTATGTAGAACTTCTTTCGCACCGTACGTAGCCGACCGGGCTAGTCGGAAGTGTGTGGGAAGGACAAACTAAACACAAATGTCAGTTTGAAAGAAATGGGTTTTCAATCTAGATTTAAAATTTGCGTAGCTTCCAGTGGCTTTCTGACTGTTGCAGTGCTGGACCGTGAATGATGGAAATGGCTGAGGCCTGAGGGGAGGCCTTCATCCAACAGTGGACTGATCCCGGCTGATGATGACGTTATAGTACTCGTAAAGAGAAAAAACAAAAAAATCTACATATTAAAATTGGGGTCAAAATTCGAGCAAAAAATTCAGATAAATCACACGGACACGCGTGCGAGTCATGGGAGGGGTTCTTCATTTATTAACGCCATGGAAGCCGGCGGGCGGCTGTCATGGCAAAAACACATTTTAATGTTTGCAAATATTACTTATTGCTTTGGGATTGTGTCTAGCAAGTTCTGGGCAATTTGGCCACCGCCAAACGCCCCCCCGACTTCCTCGCACCCCGCCCGCCCCAGTGTCGTGTGTTCGGTAACAATCGGCAATGGCACGGCCACGGGCCATGATGGTCGCCGAGAGCCGTGGGCCACGCCGTCGCGCTCACTACCGTCGCAAGGCCGCGTGCATCAGCAGGGGCGCGACGAGCTTAATGAATATAAATGACTCTGCTGCTGCTACCGGGCTCTTTCCGCTAGAGAGTATGGGGGAGGCGGAAGCTGGGGGGGGAGGTGGATGACATCAGAGCGTCTGGGTTGCTTCCGCTCCCCCTCTCGGCTCCTCGTAATGTCAGCTGTGCGGATCCTCAAACGAATGACCGCGTCGTAAGCTGACGCTGGGCTAGACTGTGGAGCAAATATTGGCTGTGCATGGCGAGACTGGGAGAGCCTTTGGTGAAGTTTGGGGTGGATTGCCTTGGCATTGAATTACAGTGTTGGTGGTCTCGGCTGTGGTGGGTTAGAACGTGGTGGGTTAGAAAGTGGTGGGTTAGAAAGTGGTGGGTTAGAACGTGGTGAGTTAGAATGAGGTGAGTTAGAACGTGGTGGGTTAGAATGTGGTGGGTTAGAATGAGGTGAGTTAGAACGTGGTGGGTTAGAACGTGGTGGGTTAGAACGTGGTGGGTTAGAATGAGGTGGGTTAGAACGTGGTGAGTTAGAATGTGGTGGGCTAGAATGAGGTGGGTTAGAACGTGGTGGGTTAGAACGAGGTGGGTTAGAACGTAGTGAGTTAGAACGTGGTGGGTTAGAACGTGGTGAGTTAGAACGTGGTGGGTTAGAATGAGGTGGGTTAGAATGTGGTGGGTTAGAATGAGGTGGGTTAGAACGTGGTGGGTTAGAATGAGGTGGGTTAGAACGTGGTGGGTTAGAACGTGGTGGGTTAGAACGTGGTGAGATAGAATGAGGTGGGTTAGAACGTGGTGGGTTAGAACGTGGTGGGTTAAAATGAGGTGGGTTAGAACGTGGTGGGTTAGAAAGTGGTGGGTTAGAACGTGGTGGGTTAGAACGTGGTGGGTTAGAACGTGGTGGGTTAGAATGAGGTGGGTTAGAATGAGGTGGGTTAGAACGTGGTGGGTTAGAACGTGGTGGGTTAGAACGAGGTGGGCTAGAACGAGGTGGGTTAGAAAGTGATGGGTTATAAAGTAGTGGGTTAGAATGAGGTGGGTTATAATGAGGTGAGTTAGAACCTGGTGGATTAGAATGAGGTAGGTGAGGCAACCTGGCCTGGGATGGCCGTGGGAATCTCGTGCGTGAATACTAAAACAATTAACGTGCGAAGGGGAACGACAATGACCTGAAGACGCAATGAAAGGAGGCTTGAAGATTTCTAGGAACACCCCCCCACCAGCCCCGGTTGGAATTCTCACTGCAGAAGAATCTTCACATGCACGAAGTTGCGAATACGAGCGGTCACAATTAAATTGCCAGGGCAATTAGCAGATATTGAGTCACCACCGCCCAGCAACCCGGCTAGGGCCAGTACCATGCTCAATGCTCATGTTAATTGGTACCAGATACTCATATAAGGACAACGTGACACAATAATCCAGATTCCCTGTTTAACATTATTGGCCGACGGGGGCAAGTGCTGTTAGCGAGCACCAATGAAGGCCGGCACGGCGCACGAGGAGGGGGCGGTGTTTTCAGGACCACGCCCGGCCGCGACGGCGTTAGTCCGCACGGCTTCCAGGGGTCGGGGCGGCATCCCGAGTGCACCACCGGCGAGGAACACCGACCTAACCTTTGACCCCCGTAGCCGAGGTACGAAAGATTCCTCGACGAGCCGACTTTGTAAAGTCAGGCGAGCGCCGGTTTACCGTTGGCCGTCGTGCGCCGCACCGGTTATCGACCGCCGCCGCCACCGCCACCACCGCCACTCACCGCCACCACCGCCACCACCGCCACCACTGCCACTCACCGCGCTGGCAGGAGGGCGGGTCGGTGCTCCAGGAGAGGTCCCACTGGCACATGAGAATGTCGGTGCCCAGGATGTCGTAGCCCGGCTCGCACTGGTACGTGGCCACCGTGCCGCGAATCGGCTCGGCGTGAGACAGCGTCTTCCAGCCGTGCGACACGTCGGGCAACGGCGAGCACGTGTCGTTACGCACGACCTCTGCGTGTGCAAAGTAAGGTAAGGAGTGGGGGGGTAAAAAGAGGGGGTAAGGGGACACGTAGAAAAAAATAAATGATAATGCGGGCCAAGAATAGCATTGCAATTGAGAATGGCGATGGCCGAGGTACTGCGTGGTAAATGGGCGGGCAGCTTGACGGGCCGGTTGGTGGGTGAGAAGGTGAATTTAGAGCTGCAGCCACTACCCTTCCTCCAGGCTTTTCTAGGGCCTCCGAAAGGATGTTGGAGGCTCCGGGGAAAAACAAATAACATGAGAAGACTTCTCCGAAATCCCGTTGGATGGAAAACCGCCCCATCTATGTGCCCCATCTGCGCCCCAACTCTTTGTGGCCCTGAGCTGTAAACGATGATCGGGGATGCGGCTCTCACCAGAGTAGTGGACGACGAAGCCACGACCCCTGCCGGGGATGGGCCCCGCGGGGTCGGACAGGAACTGCACCGTGACCTCGGAGCCCGTGGTGAAGACGCGGAAGCGGTGGTGCGTGCCGGCGTACTGTCCCAGGGCGCGCGACGTCAGGTCGTCACCGTCGAAGATCGTCACCGAGTCCGTGCTGCCGATGTCCAGCCTACGGGGGGCGGGCGGGCAGGCGGGCAGGCAGGCGGGCGTGTGGGCAGCGGGCACACGATTATAAGTAAATAATACAATTAAAGTAATTTTAAAACAATATATCGTTTTTTTCTTTCCCAATTTTAGATCGAATGTACGACCAGCACCGTTTCACGGGACGAAATCATCCATTCGCATCTCTGGCACAGGCAATGCTGAACCCCTTTACGTTGGAGAATGACACACGGAAGCAGATATCACAGAGCTGCCTCCGAGATCCCTTCGAGCGACCGTTGGTTTACACAGAACTTTACCACCTGCCACGCTTCAGCGAGTAACGTTCATCGCACGACAGTCAAGCCGGTGTATACATTTCCGTGGCTGCAATTGAGTAAAATTATATCCACGGTGATTCTGGTTTAATTCAAGGCGGCTGGCTGCCTGCGATATAAACACAGAAACTCAACGGTGCCAGCTCAGCGCTCTGACCTCTGAGCCACCTGGTCACCCGATGCCATTTTATTTTCATTGCCTTGTTTTTGAAGCCACGTCAGGGTGATTAACATTCCTCTCGCAGTCCGAGCGCGGCATTGTAGTCGGATTCATCACGCGGATGAAATAAACTTTGATGGTCAAGGGATTTTTCAAATGTAATTTATTACCATCATGAATTATGACGTTTTTTTATTAATGTTTTTTTCCTTTTAAACGTTTCTTTCGTTTTCATTTTTCCGCTGCGGTACAACTCTGTCGTCAAGACAAAGGCACGTGGCGAGGTGGCCCAGAGGTTGGAGACATGGAGCCGGCAACCACTAATCACCTGGGTTCGCATCTGGTTTCAGGTTCCAATTCCCCTACCCGGCCGCCCACTTTGTTGTTGGAAGCCACTGGAGCTATGCACTTTTAAATCTAGATTGAAAACTAATTTCTTTCCAACTGCTTTTTGTGTTTAGTTTGTTGTCCTTCCAACCCCCCCCCCCCCCGCAGCACTCCTGATTAGCGTGGTTGGTGCACAAAAAGTTCAACAGCAGTTTCACAGCCGTAAATATCCGTCCGCAGACAAAACGACGGCGTTTAATTCACGAACCGTGCGGCTCACTCAACGCAGTTCCAACTTCATAAAATATAAATCCGCGCGATTTTCCACGTCGTGAAATATTGTCAACAACCAAGGAAATAAGCGCTCGGCTCCGGGGACGGGCGCTTTATCCCATGACGACGATGACAGCGCAGTCGGGAGAAAACGGCGAAGGACACTGGGGACAAAAAGACGCCCAACGCGACGCGCAGGAGACGTCCCCGCTCCCCACCCACATCTTGGCATCAAAACGAGCTCAAGATCCACAAGCACAAAGATCCCCCGTATAGCCTTAACAGACTGTAGGGGGCAAGCGCTGTTAGCGAGCACCAATGAAGGCCGGAACGGTACACGAGGGGGTGGGTGGCCAGCACCACGCCCGACCGCCTTATTCTCCCCAGTGGCAATGTTTTTATCCACCGCACCAGATACTCGTTTGAGGCTGAGTCGACCTAGGGGAGGCCCAGGACCGGTTCAAATAATCGTCACTGGTGTTGGCCGTGAGCGGGAATCGAACCCGGTGCGCCAGGTTCATAGCGCAGCGCGCTAACCGCTACACTACCGCTCCCCCACACACGTGCCCACACACGCGTGCACGCGCCAACCGTGGCGCGCAGGACCATAAAACCCTCTACAGAAAAGAAAATCGATCGATGCCAATTCCAAATTGCACGGACTTTCACCAAAAGCCTGATCAACGTTTTACGCAGATAATGACACACCGACGACGATGCGGCGGCTGGGAAACGCGATGCTGGGCGGTGCGGGACAGCTAGGACCGGCCACCGTGCGGACGAGCCGAGTTGCTATAATTCGGCTCAGGTTCGCGCATCCATTATTCGAGGTCGAACCCAGACTGCAATTAGACGAGCGCGGCCGGATCGAAGCCTCTCAATTCCACCATCGCTCGGGGGGCCCCGGCGGTGCCAGCTTCAATTTGGCTTTAATTGGCAACTGCTGCTGCTGATGATGCTGTTCCTGCTGCTTCCAAAGCTGCTACTGCTGCCGGTGCTACTGCAGCTGCTACTACTAAGCACGGACATTTGCTTTTGCACACTCTTACGGGTCCAATCCATCGGGAATGCAGCAGCAGCAACAGCTACCTCTGCAGGTGATGCTGCTGATAGCCGTGAGTGGTGAGTCCGAGGCGTTTGCCAAGTGTGGGGTGGCATCGCCAGCCAGGCGGTGGCTGGAGGAGCACCCCCACAACTCTTTGTAGCCTGGCACCGTGGAGGAATTGGATCGGGCTATAAGGGGGATCTTTTATCTTTGTATGTGAACCACGTGAGCGTGTGTGTGTGAACCAAGTGAGCCTGTGTGTGTGTGAACCACGTGAGCCTGTGTGTGTGTGAACCACGTGAGCCTGTGTGTGTGTGAACCACGTGAGGGTGTGTGTGTGAACCACGTGAGCCTGTGTGTGTGTGAACCACGTGAGCCTGTGTGTGTGTGAACCACGTGAGCCTGTGTGTGTGAACCACGTGAGGGTGTGTGTGTGAACCACGTGAGCCTGTGTGTGTGTGAACCACGTGAGCCTATGTGTGTGAACGACGTGAGGGTGTGTGTGAACCACGTGAGCCTGTGTGTGTGTGAACCACGTGAGCCTATGTGTGTGAACCACGTGAGGGTGTGTGTGTGTGAACCACGAGCCTGTGCGTGTGTGAACCACGTGAGCCTGTGTGTGAACCACGTGAGCGTGTGTGTGTGAACCACGTGAGGGTGTGTGTGTGAACCACGTGAGCCTGTGTGTGAACCACGTGAGCCTGTGTGTGTGTGAACCACGTGAGGGTGCGTGTGAACCACGTGAGCGTGTGTGTGTGTGTGAACCACGTGAGCCTGTGTGTGTGTGAACCGCGTGTGTGTGTGAACCACGTGAGGGTGTGTGTGTGAACCGTATGTGTGTGTGAATCACGTGAGCATGTGTGTGTGAACCACGTGAGCGTGTGTGTGTGAACCGTGTGTGTGTGTGAACCGCGTGTGTGTGTGTGTGTGAACCGCGTGTGTGTGTATGAACCGTGTGTGTGTGTGAACCGCGTGTGTGTGAACCACGTGAGTGTGTGCACGTGCTCACAGCTGTATCTCCAGCAGGATGCGCCGTCCCTCGCGCACACGCACGCCCCAGATGCAGTCCTGGCCCTCGTCGTAGATGTCGGGGTAGTTGGGGGAGAGGATGATTCCGTGCGACCCGGTTACGTCGCCGCCACACAGCGCTGTGCACGCACACACAGACAAAGATCCCCCGTATAGCCTTCACAGACTGTTCAGGCAAGTGCCGTTAGTGAGCACGTACGAAGGCTGGGACGGCACACAAGGGGGTGGCCAGCGTCACACACGGCCGCCTTTGTCTCCCCAATGGCGATGTTTTTACACAGCGTACTCATTTGAGGGTGAGTCGAGCTAGGGGATGGCCCAGGACCGGTTCAGATAATCGTCACTGTTGTTGGCTGCGAGCGGGAATCGAACCCCTGGGTAGCCAAGTTCGCAGCGCGCTAATCGCTACGCTACACAACCGCACGCACGCAAGCACACACACACAAACGCACACGCGCGCAATCTCCAGTGAAAACCTGCTCCATGAAAAAACAAACTCTTGTGAGCTCCAAGTGTCGCTCTCTCCGACTCGAGTGGCTCCCGCTCGCGTAAGGATCACTATTTTTTCCAACCAGCGAACGCTTTGTTACCCCATTCTCCTTGGTGCCCCTGAGAGTGTATTGGGGTTAGGGGTCAGAGGCTCAGAGGTCACGCTGCCGAACCGGCACTGCTAAGATTCTGGGGATTGAATCCAGCTATCGGCCCGCCGGTGATTAAACCAGGTTTCTCCAGTGCAGTGCGAAGCTCATGGCTCCAGCCCGGGTCACCAAATGATTGTACAAATAGGGGAAAAAAAGACTCCATCGTACTAAATCTGGTTTTTGCACTTAATTTGCCTGACAATTAAAAATATACGATCATGAGATAAACACCAAAACAAAATAGAACAAATTAGTGTTGTTGTTTCCTATCGTTCGGCAGCTGTGTGACAAAACTGCTGTTTGTGCTTTTAGTTTGTTGTTCATTCCCTGCACCTCCGATTAGCGCGGTTGGCTACATACGGCACGGAAGAAGTTCAACGCCCATTCGTAGAGTTAAGTAGAGGTATAGGTGCTCCCTTATGAGAGAGTCCTGGGTACCCACACGGACCTCGCACGTGTCAAGACTAAATCTAAATTACTACAAAAACAATTAAACAGTTTGCAGTTCATTGTCAACGCACTGCTGGATGAATGCCCCCACCCTCCACCCCATACCATGTCAGCTGTGGGGGAAGGTTTGACCATACTTCACCATGCTGTCCATTGGAGATTTGTTTAACGAGGGGCAAAGGGGCCCCAGGTGCGGTTCACGAATCGCTCAGCGACCGAGCGAGCTTAGCCGCAGCCGTGTGTCGAACTCGGACGCCCGGCTCCGTAGCGCGATGCGCGAACCACCGCTCCCCCCCCCACCACACCGAGCCAACACAGGGCAAAATTTTTATTTTTTTACAAACTGCCAACAACCGACCGAAATAGGCATTGGTGTAGCAGCCAGAGAGGTTGGCAACCGAGGGGAAGGCCCCCGGGTAGGGGGGCGGTGCGATAACGTCAAGGCGGGCGACCCCGCGGGGCGATCGTGTCGACGGCGCAGCAGATAAACAGCGGTGGCGACGTGCGGTCGCTTCAACGGCACTGAGGAGCGCGACGACCTCTTGACCTTGAAGAGAGCCTGACAGTTTTTCGGGGGGGGGGGGGGATCACTGCGACGGCGGGAGAAATGGCTCCGTTAACGATTCCAGCACTTCCACGACGCGATAAATTGTTGTGATTTGGGGGTCACGGATCAATGCAGTTTGCCCTTGTGGTGCGCGAACGATCTACGGCCGTGCGAATCTACTCTCTGTCCGCGGCTGAGAAAATTCATACGCATAGACGAGTCAGAAGTGATCGATTCTTCCGCACAATACCCTTCCATGCGTGTGCTGGGAGCGGAGGATCTAATGCTAATTGACGAGTTGTTGGGCCTAAATACGCAACGATTCACCGATTCGTTGAGTAAAATATCTATTGTTGACCGATTATGTGAATTGCGATCCCTGATTTTTTTTACAATTCATGAAATTACTGGGGGTCATTTCATGAAAAAAATAATGTAAAAGCATCCGTGGTGGAGTGGTGGTTAACGCAGTGGACTATGAACCTGGTGACCCGAGTTTAATTCCTGACCAGGGCTGACATCACTGGCGAGTGATAACTGAACCAATAGAGCCCCCCCCCCCTCCACACCTCCACCAGCTCACCCTGACCACCGTGGTGACGTATGATCAATCAGCCAACTTCCCACGACCGACCCTGCACTGGACTGTCAAAGGGCTGTAAATGATTATTATTACTTTCGAACATTTTCCATCTACGCTTGGATGCACGGTGCATTCATTCCGTTGGCCCACCCATAACGGGGAGGCAATAACGCAACTCCAGCGAAGATGAATCGATGCGGACAGAAACTTTCACGCAAAGTTTTCAACCCACGAAGCGGCTTGCCCGATTGCCAAACGGTCAAACTGATCAAAGCATCGGACAAAAACAGTCAACATGGAACGTTTGACCAACGTTGGCAGATGGTTGGAACCGCTGGACCACCGCTGACCGAATACTGCCCCAACAATAAATGACCCGTCGGCTTGGAAAGTGTTACAGCAGAAATCGTTGCGTGTACGTACTCTCTGTAAATGTTGAGCTTCTTTCGCACCAGGTAAGGCCGACTGTACTATTAATCTCTTTTTTCAGAACCGACTTGGCCGCAAATGATCGCTCAACCAAGTCGATTATCACGTGGAAACTTATAGCAGACCCGGAGAAAAATCCACGTGACCACGGGGAGAGAGAGAGACACGTAGACTCCAAATATACAGCAGCAGGCGTCAGGAACGGGATCGAACCCACGACCTCCTGTATACCAGGCGAGGTGGTTAACTTCAAACCACGCAAGTGCATTCATTTTCATTCCTTGTTTGCTGTCTAAACAAATTAGGGGAAGGCGTCAAAGTGGCCGACGAATCGGCCGAATCACGCACCACGGCAGATGGGCTCGGTCTGGTTCCAGTAGGGCTCGCGGATGTCCAGGCATTCGCTGACGGGGGTTCCTTGCTCCAGTGTGTAGCCGGGGTGGCACGCAAACTCCACCAGGGTGCCCACCGAGTACAGCGGGTCCGAGCTGCTGTAGTTGCCGTACTGGATGTACGGCTCGTAGCAGCGGCCACGCTCGAACGCTGCAGCGCAGGCAGAAACGATCGCACGGCCGGAGGACCGGAGGTGGAAATCAGAGGGAGAAGAAAAAAAACCCAACACGGATTGGCGTCGAGGTGACTGGTGGAGTGCGATGGCCGGTGGCAAGGCACAGTGGCGGCACTGGGCATGAGCAGAACCCAGCAAAAGCTTTGGGCACAAAGCGGCTGAAGGGGCCCCAGATTATTGTTCACACAACGTGCCACACACACACACGAGGTGCCACACACAGACATACGACGCGCCACACACACACCAGACATCACACACACAACATGCCACACACACACACGAGGTGCCACACACAGACACGCGCACACGACGTCTCACACACACACACGACGTCCCACACACACACACCAGACAACACACACAACGTGCAATACACACACCAGACATCATACACAACATGCCACACACACACACCACGTGCCACACACACACACACCAGACCACACACACACACCAGACCACACACACACACACACCAGACCACACACACACACCACGTGCCACACACACACACACCACACACTTCAAACGTCCACGAGGCTGATAGACGTAAACAAACCAATGAGCACAAACGAGCGACCTAATCTCTCTCATCTCTCAGTTTTTTCTGCACATCTCATTTAACTACATTTTTCATTTAGTTTTGGTCCGCCTATCTCTTTGGTCACCTAACGAGAATTCTATGAATCGAAATGAAGGGGGTGGGATCCTCTTGCAAACGTTTTTTTGCATTAAGAGACTTTCCCCGCCCGCTCCCCCCCTCCCCTCCCCCGGCTAATGGGGCAGCAGCAGCACCACGGGTGGATGGAGTGGATTGGGTGGATGGGGTGGATTGAGTGCATCGGGTGGATGGGGTGGGTCGGGTGAATCGGGTGGATCGGGTAGATGGGGTGGATCGGTGGGATGTGAGAAGACACAAGTAGGCCGGTGATTGATTGAGGTTCGTAGGTCGCCGCCCTCTCGGCGCATTAATCAACGAGCCGAGAATCGATGGGCGATTACGGGGACCTGACGCCGGCGAAATCAAAAGCGGCTCCCAAATAAATAAATAAATACCCCCCCCCCCCAAATGCATTATTAAGTGGGCGCGATGAAGACGATGATCAGATGGCACGCTCGCTCGCTCGCTCACATATGTGCGCGAGCGAGCGGGCGAGTGTTTGTTAATTGGCTCCGTGAAGCCGTGAGCCCGCAGCTGTTCGTGAATAGCGGCGAGGTGGATATGGCAACAACAACAACAACAAAAAACGCCAAATAGGAAAGGGTTCTGATGAAAGGAGGAATAACGGTTCGAATTAAGTAATTTTGTGGATCACCGGGCACCGAGGTCAAGGCGAAAGTCAAAGCCATTTCTTGCTCAATTGGTGTGATCACCTTTACAGCCCTGCAGAGCAGGTGATGTAAGTTCCACGTTCTTATGGCGGGGGGAGGCGGAGGCGAGAGAAACGATGGGCTGAGTGAACCCTCCACCCCCTCCACAATACACGATTTGAATCCGCAACCTTCGCAGTGCAATGCGCTAAGCAATGCGCCACCGCTCCCCACCACACAAACACAAAGATCCCCCGTATAGCCTCAACAGACTGTTGGGGCAAGTGTTGTTAGCGAGCACACACACAGACACACACCAACACAAGCGCACAAACGCACGCGCTCACACAAATACACACATTCACACGCATGCACATTCATACAAGTAAACGCATCCCAACGTAGCAGAACCCTCCTGGAAGAAATGCCTTGAGATTCAGAGTGAGGCCTTCCTGGATAAAAGCAACAAGGGCATTGTCGTTGTGATTAAGATTCAAAGATAACCATCGACGGTCCACGAGCCACAGTGTAATTTAGTAACCGCGGGTGGTGGCAATTATGCAGGGATAGCAGTTCACGGCTACCAAAAGTTGATGATGTGATGACACCATTATTATATATAGTTACTGCACTGTTGGTACAAGTTTTGCCGTTCCAGGTGGTACCAAACGAGCGGCATATCGTGGCCTGGGCCCACGATGGACTGCGACTGTAACGCCAAGCCAATCGAGGCGGGCGCCTGCAGAGCGACCGACTGAGAGCGGTCAAAACGCTCGTCCATCCGACTCTGCGAATGGACGAGCGAAACGCAACCGGATTGGTGAAAGGTGGGGGGTGGAGGTGGGGGGTGGAGGTGGGGGATGAAGGGGGGGGTGGGGGGGGCTCCCCTCGCCCCTTGCCGCATCGCGGCGAACGCCGGACCTTCGTATCGCACGGCGAATCCCGGCGCCGTGCCGACGTTGTCGGTCGTGAGCTCCAGGCGGAAGTAGCGACTCGTGCTGATGACGCCCTCGCCGGGGAAGTACTCCGTCTCGTACGAGTCGTAGAGCGGGACGGCGCTCGACGTGTTCCCGTTGCGCACGATCAGCCTGCGGGGGAGGTCGGGGTGGAGGGCGGCGAGGAGGGGGGGGGGTGCACGGTGGTGAGGTTAGGGGTGTGGGGAGACGTGGGGGAGGGTAATGGGGGGGGGGGGCGACTCAGTGTCAGACAAAACTTTTAATAAAAATGTTAGACGCGAAACAGGACGAGCAACGATACGATCCACTGGCCGTCTACTTCTGCTTAGCGTGTGGTCTGCTGGAGCGCCCACCTCCCGTGTGTGCTCGAGGAAGGGTGCTGCAATGTCCGCCTCCCTCTAAAGACTACCGTGAGACGGTTTGTGCATCACCCGACGGTGCGTGCAGGCAAGAGGAGGGTACCGCTGCACGTCCGCGGGATAAAGCGAGGGCATCTTCGCCGTCAACGTTCCCGACCTGTCGTCGTCTTCGGCCAGGGCCAGCTTCTCGAAGTGCAGGTGCAGCCGCTGGCCGTCGGGCGCCTCTATGAGCCACACGCACGTCAAGTTGTTGGTGTAGTTGGCCGGGAAGTTGGGCGAGAGGATGCGACCCACGGACGCGTTCCGGATGAGGCCTCCGCACATCGCTACGCACGGCACGGGGCAGATGACGGAGCCCAATCAAATTAAACCGGCACTCCGGATTGATTGAGCGATGGGGGTGAGTGGGTGAGTGATCGAGAGCGTGAATGATCAATTCAGCGCGTAAGGAAGTGAGTAAGCAATGAACGACACGGCGATATAGTGAGTGAGCGAGCAATTAAACGATGGGGTGAGAAAGCGTGCGACGATGAATCGAGCGAGCAGGTGGGGGGGGGGGGGGGGGGGGCGAGAGGTCGTGCGGGCTGCTCCCCTCTCACCTAAGCACAGGGGCTCAGTGGCGTCCCAGCCCGGGTGGGTGCTGTTGATGCAGGTGAGGATGCTCTGGCCCCGCAGCTGGTACCCGGCCTTGCAGTGGAAGTAGGCCTTGCCGCCGGGGTGCAGGCCGCTCACGTACACCTCGCCAAACGCCGGCTTCCCCGGCACCGGGCAGCTCAGCACGTACTCTGCCGGCGGGCGAAGGCCCGGGTGGCGCGGACGACGCGGAGACAGCCGTCATCGATTAGCACGGTTGGCTACGTACGGCGCGAAAGAAGTTCAGCGTGCGTACGTACGTCGCCACCCACAGACTCCCGGTGAACGCAAGCGTTGGGGCGGCTGCCGCGGCAGCGCACGTGATGTCCGGGTGAACGACCGACATGGAGAAGCTCTGCTGGGAGCGGAATGTCGCGCTACGGTGCTACGTTTCGTCGCCGATATACGATGAGATGAAATAAAAATGTGGGTTCGGGTCACACCACCGTAGCTGCGCTCAAAGCGGCGCGTCGGTGGAACTCCGTCGCACGGTGATGTTGAATTCAAAAGTCGATCAAGACGTTGGCCGCGTATCAAACGATGATGTCCTTTAACAGGTGACAATCTTGTCGGGTGGTGGAGGGTAATTGACGAGTAATCTTGAATGGGAAACTACGAGGGGACGGAACTAAAAAACAAATATGGATCATGGTGTTGGCTACAAAAGTCAACGTTTGAGTTAAGGAGCGGTCTGATCCACGCACCGGTGGAGAGTCGGTGTCCATACTTCTAGAGCTTCGTCACCAACAAATGGTTCTTTGTTTAATAATACGATGAGAACGCATCGTGAGAACTCATCGTGTTATTAAGAGATCTGGACGTCTTAATGCGCAAAACTTACCCATGTCACAACAATGACAAAATCAGCTAAATATTATTTCGATGTACGATATATCGTCGAGACAGTGTTGTGCATACGGCGTTGTTTTAGAACGTGGTATTGAGAGACAGAAAGGGGAACGTACGCATCAGACATCGTACGCAGACAACATTAGTTTGTTGTCCTTCCCCCGAACCTCTGATTAGCACGGTTGGTTATGGCATCATATTCAATATGGCCTTGGGTGGAACACATCGCTGGGAGGGATGATGGCCAGAGGTGGAGACTAATATTGGAGCGGGTGCCACAGGAGGGTAAACGCACCCATCATTAGAACCACCGCAGCGGAGATGGAGCAATGAAATAATCTGCAGGTGCTAGATGGATTATTGCATCGCAGGGCCATGAGAGATGGTGATGGATTGGGGAGGCCTTCATCCAGGAGTGGGAAGATAATAGCTACTGCTGCTTCTGATACTGTCGATTATAGAAATGGTGACTCTGGGAATCTAACCAGCGGTTGTCTACTGGAAACCAGTCCCTGCCAAAGGAATGTGGAATTTCCACCACCGACTCGGAGAACGCGCGTGACCCATCGCCTGTGTGGGCGGTCGACAGAGCGGCTCACTGGGGGGAGGAAGTGGTGGGGGGTGGGGGGGGGGCAAGTCTCTCGCCACCGAGACACTCCACCAATTCGGCAGCACCACTCGGGATTAAGACGACAAATAAAATCACGGACGGCCGTCGCGCGAAATAAAAATCATGCAACCTGGTGTGCCCCCAATTCCCGCTAATCCCTGGGTACACTGCTGGCCCTAATGAGCTGCACAGTTAATCTGTGATGAGAACTAATCAGTGGGAGGGCTGATAATAAAGGCGCTGGCGGTGAGTGGTGGTGAGCGGCGGTGAGGGCGCAGGGTGGTGGGCTGGCTCGTGTGCAACTGGGCCGCGCCTTCGTTGCGACCGCACGTCACCGCAGGCGGCCTTGTGTGCGGGGCCAAATTTCTGGCCGAATGTGATCCGAGGTGCTGGCGGTAGGTCGGAGCCCGTGTAATGTGGTTAGTGGCCACGGCCACGGAGAGAAGAGGTATGTAGGATGCGGTGTGCTGAGCGCGGAAATATTTCCTGGGTAGCCGACCCAGTGCAGGGGTAACCCACGGTTTACCCCACCACCATCAATGCGTTCTATCCAAGCCCCGCGCTTAAACTTCGCTCGTTAGGGCGTCGCTCATTGTCCTCTGCTGCCCCTACAGTCTGGATCTCCCTTCCCCCAGCCATTCGTGCCGTCGAATTCTTTGCCCCAATTCAAGCCGAGACTCAAGACCTCCCTTTGTGTTCTGCTGCCTCTGACTGTCCACCTCTCTCATGAAATAACGATGCCCAATGCCTCCCATGCAGCGTCTTGAAATGCCATCGTTTTCAGACGCTGCCTGAATTCACATTGTTGTGGTGCTGTCCCATGATACTCCTCTGTTACGTGTAAACACTCCCCCACCTCCCATGTCAGATTTTGACTGGGAAAATTGACCCATTTCTTTGCCAGTACGAATCCATGTGCCTTTGTACTCAACCTCATTTATAATACATTTTGCTAAAATATTAATCTCCATTAACATGTTAATATTTAATTGTAACTAATTATCCCTAATTATCCTCACATTGCGTCAGGTTCTATACACGATTATAAATTACTTTTCATTGCACGTTTTCTGCAGTGCTTTAACCCGGGGTCCCCCTTGAGAACAGGGACGACAACTCCATGCTGCTGCCTACCACCCCACAACGCTGCTGTGCCACCAAACTTGGCATGCGCCACAGGAGCGGTATTTATTCCACGATCTCCTCTTGTCCACCCATTCTCAATCCACCGACGGAAGAATGTGTCCACATGCCACGTCGCTCACGGCGGTGAAGGCGTGGAACTCGTTCTGATATCACTCGACACTGGTTTTTAGCCGTGGCCAGGAATTGAACTCGGGTATATTTCTGGCCATTTTTTTTTTTAAACCCAATTCCTGGCCACAGGGTTCAATGATGCCTGGGCCATCGCGAATCTCAGTAGCCACGATTTTATCCGAGTTCAATTCCTGGCCACTGATATTAGTCGTGGATAGGAATTGGTTAGCGCACCACGCTGTAAAGCAGGCGACCCGAGTTCGATTCCTGGCCACATCAAACATCAGTGCTGAGTGACATCTAAACCGGTCCTGGGTTTACCCCCTCACCAATCATCGACCCACACTGAGCAGCGTGGTGAAGCTATAGTCAAATAATTCCCATGACTGACACGCCATTGGGAGGCCTTCATCTAGCGGTGGATGGAGAAAGGGCCGACAACCATTATTTTGTCGACATATATTTTTGAGAATAAATGTTCATAAAATCAGTCATGCAACTGATTTTGATCTATTTCTATGTTGGCTTTCCACGTCAAACCTGTAGAATAATACTATGTATCGGCCGTCACCTGTTGACTCAGCTATGCCTTGAAAACAGAGGCTCGAAGTTTCGACGAGTTTTCAACCCCCGGTTGAAATTACCTCCATCCATCAGTCAAACCAAAGAAGAGCAGGCAACAAAATTGTAAGTGGAATAATTTGTGTAGATTGAGGACGGCCGAAAAAGACGTTGACTTTGTTCCCTGTGATGCAGACGCCGGCACGAGCGGTGACGCGTGGGTGAAGGGCACCACGGTGGTGAGATGTTAACTACCTCGTCTGGTATACAGGACGCCGTCGGTTCCACCCTGACGCCTTCTGTAAATTTGGAGTTTGCATGTTCTCCCCGTGGTTGCGTGGATTTTTCTCGGGGTCCTCCGGTTTTTCCCTCAACATTTAGAATCAACAGCATACCTTTAGTGTATTTGGCTGCTATAACTTTTCACGTTAGAGGCTACTTGGTTGAGTTATCATTTGTGGCCAGGTCGTTCCTGACAAAGTGCTACATAGCTCAGTGGGTCTTAACTGATAAAATAATAAAATAAAATAGTCTAGTTCAATAGTTCAGTTTTCGAAGAGGTGCCGGACGTATATATAAAGCGGACGGAGCACGTCAGCATTTCCCCCACGGGTGAGCGACAAGTAAAAATAAATGAAGCAAATCTCAAAACGGTGTCGGCTCAAGGCGCCCAAGCAGATGCGGGGAGTTTAAACCGGAGCCGGAGCAAACCTCTCAATCAATCGGACGGATTGCCTCGGCAAGTCGTCGATATTTTCACTTTTGCTTAAATTACAGATGGTGCCGCCACGCGCTCTCACAGGGCCCACATCACTCACGCCGAGCGAAGGTGAAGGGGGTGGGGGGGCTGGGGACGGGGCTGGCTTGGCTCGATCGGGAAATTTTCTGAATGGGAGCGCCGAGCCAGCACTGCGGAGATCCCGGATTCCAGTGGCACATCCAGGGGGGCAGAAGGGCGAAGGGGGAGGAATACCCAACGCCCGAACGCCCCCCCCCCCCACCCACCCCCTTCGAGATGTGAAAGTTGATATTTTATTTATCAGAGAAAAGACACTGCATATTTCTTTTACAATGAGGGTCCACCAACCCCCACGCTCCGTGGGAGGTGTCTAGATCCGCCTCCGTTGGATTTCGATTTGGGGATTGAGCCGCCCGCGACGAGAGCGGGTTCTCAAGTGCAGTGGGGTTACGGTCTCAGCCGGATCACGAACGATTTGCACACAAAACCTCCTAGCACCATCATCATTCCAATCATTATCAGTCAGCCTCGCAGTGGCTTTCGGCTAACCGTCGAACAAAGACGGCCATGGCGTCTCGCGCTTTCAGATGCGCTTCTGCGGCCGTCTGGAACTCCCTCGCTTCCGATACGAGGAAGTGGTTTATGTCCCTTGACGAGATCAGCAAGGTATTGTGGTTCATTTGTGGCGGGTATTTGTGGCAGGCAAATGAACCACCATTTGCCTGCTTGAGGGTTTTTTGTTGTTTTTTGTTGTTTGTAGTTGTTGCAAGGTTCGCAACTTGAGCTGCCAAGTTTGTTCGCCCCGAGTGCCGCCCGCGGTGCCGTTCGGGAAATGCGGCTGCGACCCTTCACCTCGATCGTGAGGGGGACCTCCTGCCCGGTTGGCGCTCGGCAAAGCGATTTGGATGTCGACAAATGCGCTATTTTGTGGGCGGCGGGTGAACAGAGAAGGAACACAAATTAAATCCCTGTGAGCGCCCCGCGCGGCAACCCGTGGAACCGCCACCGCCGCCGCCACCTTCAAATCGAACGCAACACGAAAGCGCTCCTCGGTGAAGGAGAAAACCACAATAAATAATTAACATTTCTAAGAAAGGAAAGGCTGCATTTATGGCGTCGGTAAATATTTCCTAGAG